AACTACTAAGTTACTACTACTACCACTTGTACTACTATCCCTACTTCGTGGTTCACTTATTGCCGGGCGGCTGGGAATCGAACCCCCGGGATAATCAAGGGACTACTCTATTCAGATAATTGACTCAATATCAGTAAAAGTTCCCAAATCCTATTAGAGACTTTCAGTTAATAATAAAAATACAGCCTATAATGGGAAGCATAAGAAGGTAGGCTGACTTTTGAAAAATAGGAGTTTGGGTTTAAACGCATCTAAAAAATTCTTATTGGAACTTTTGAACAGTTATAGATTCATCATCATTTCAAAACGTCATGAAAAATACTCATTTTAGGACGTAGAACTGCAATGGAAAGCATTTTCTTCAGTTCTAAAATGAGAAATGGTTCAATATCCAAACACAAATCTGTACAAAGCTTGTTTTAAATGTGTTCTACAATAAGTGTCCCCCAGAAAATTACCTAGTTTTGTAATTTTGTACGACTTAATTTATTTTTAACAAGTGCATGCAGGTTAAAATTAATGAATACAGTTCAGGTTTCTTATTTGCATTCCAATCAGACGACGATTACTCACTTGGGCAAGCAATAAATGTGTTCACGTCTGAAGGAAAGGATGATAAACTCTGCTCTGTCCAGCTACATGCATGTCCAGTGTAAACAGAATTCTATTATATTGACCTGAAAAAATAGAAACATTACTTTCATGCCACATCATGCTCAAACTCCCAGCGAAACAGATGCTTTAGAAGCAAACAACAAGCAGAAACAACTCAAATCCTGTAATGTTATATATTTATGCCCAGCATTGCCAACTCATGTTTCCACAAGGTGGAAAAAGCTAACAAAACCACACTAAAGTCTGGCATTATGATCATTTACACCCACAAAGAAGCTCACTGACTAGAAATAATAATAATAATAATGTCAGCACTGTATGTTTCCATACAATGGCGAAATTAGTCTCTGCATTTAGCCCATCCACCACCAGGTGGTGCAGTGGGCAGCTATTGAAAGCCCCCGGGGGGCATTTTGGGGATGAGGTGTGCTGCCCAGAGACGCCACGTGATATGCAGTGCCTGGGGAACGAACCTGGGACTTTCGTGTCCCAAGCCGGCTGCCCTGCCTCTACACCATCTCGGCCCCAATATCTTACTGTCTTAAGGTACCTTCGTGTCAAAATATTTCATGGAAGTTTAAAGCGTTCCCAGTTCTCTGTTCTTAAACTGGGAATGACCTGAGTAGGAATTTGTAATAAAACATTGTATTTAGTAAAACTGATATGGACCAGATTATGTGACATTAACTAACCTTTCAACATTCAAAAACTAAATCAAAACTTTCAAATCATAATAAAGTGCTATCTACCACCAGTCTACTTAGTTAAACATCTCATGAAGTTACACACCTCAAAACATTTTTGCATTTATTTAGTCCAAATATTTATTCAGCTAGTAATTGCAAATGTTGATCATCTTTAGTTTGGTTAATGGCATCAGCAACCGTGTGCTCTGACAAACTGATGAGCAGCCGAGAAACACAAAGCAGAGCAGGCCGCACTCCATCACAGCAAACCTGTGAGCTTAAGCTGAATAAACCAGCCTGGCCGGGCCAAGCTAACAGCTGCCTTACTTTAGTCCCGTCAGACGCACCTGATCAGACTCTTCCACAACCGCTTGGTCCTGAAACCACATGGAGAAAGGAACCCAGAACACTGACTCACATTGATCACGTGTGTAGCCACCACAGCTAACTTTTATATTGAAAGTTAGGTGACCAGATTTCTGACATTCAATTTGGGGACATTTCCAGCTCGGAGCAAAAAATTATAAAATGTTATCAAGATGAAATGAAGAAACGGGGACAGTCACGTTGCATTTATTTTGACACATTTATTCATGTTTACACAATAAAAAATCAAATGTAGCAACAGGAATGTGCCTCTTCACACACATTTCCTAATAGAACAAATAAAGTAATATTAGTAGCAATGGTGTCAGAAACGTTTGAAATGTAGGGGGGACACACTGGTTGGCGGTCTGAGGGTCCTCCCTCAGAAATTTTTGAATAAAGTAGATGCAATTTCCTGCATTCTGGTGTATTTTAATGGGTTATTAAACATCTGTGTTAATCTACATAAGTAACCATTTGAATTAATAATAAATTTAGAAAGCAAGGCACAACAAGTGGATTAGTATTCTCCCATTAATTAAGAATGGATTCATTCAGGAAGAGATATAAACAGCGCTGGGTGAATTAATATGGTTCTGCGAGGCCTCCTCTGTCTGAAGAGCCATCAGCCATGGTAGCCATGGAGGTCTGGAATAGAATAAGAGCAGAAAGGGTTATGTACAGATAATAGTAAAGTTTTATTTTCTTATTTCGGCTTCTCCATTCTTCAGGGGTCTCCACCGTGAACTGTCGCACAAAGACTTGGCGATTGTTTTTACGCTAGATGCCCTTTCTGACGACATCACAGACCACCGAGCTACCACAGCCCTCTGTGTGGAGCAGAGAGCTGCCATGTAGGGCACCCGGGGGAGCAGATGCTGGGCCTTGCTCAAGGGCTCAGGGTGGGGCAAATAAGGGTGGAGGCAGGTGTGTGTGCTTCACCTTTCCCACTCACATTTTGAACTTGTCGGTCCAGGGAGTTGAACTGGCAATCATCTGATCACAGACCCACCTTTTCTAACCTCTGTACCACCACTCCCCAAAGAGAAATAAGACACAATTTAGTAATATGCTACCTATTTTGTTTATTTGCTCTTCCATTTTTTTCATCTTGTCAATAACTGCCTCTAATTATTTAACTACTTTCCTTCACAGATGAAATGACAAAAATCCTATATTTGGCAAAAAAACTACATTTATTTGGAGTTCCAAGCTCATAGAATAGAAGAAATGCACATTTATAGTGACCTCTCCCTCCTCGTTTTCAGTCCAGTTCTTGCTTCATTCTGTTTCCATCACTGAGGAACTTTCATACGTCCAAACTGAGTAAACAAACACAACTAAGCCCCATTTTATTTATCTGGGCACAGCTGACAACACTAGAAACATTTCATACCATGAACCAAACCTTTATCACGGCTAGAGTCAACCCATTTCAAACAAAATACATCAGTTCACACATATATCACAAGACAGCTACAGTATGGGCTGAAACTTATGCCATTAGAAACTGAAGCCATCAGTGAAACTTCCTTTCTCTATAAAATAGAAAATGCATTAAAATCAGATATAAATGAGTGTCTCATCTGTCAGGTCTAGTAGAGTAATATAACATTAAATCTGTGTCAGTGGGTCATATGACGTAAAATATATAGTTTTTTTTCACAAGAGTATTTGGTTCAGTAATTTGTTGATGGTCCCTAGGTGAACCTTTGCGACTCGGAGGAGGTGCAGACTGAGTACAGCTGACTGAAGTCAGACTGCCTGCATCAGACTGAACAAGGGGAAGACACTGCTGAATCAGCGGAGTGCTAATATCCAATGTCCAACATAAAACAAAACTTCACCGTGGTCGTCGTCTTCTTCGTCTGTTTTAAAGGAGGCGCGCTCGGCTCTTCTTCTCTGTCTGTAATGTTAGCAGCAGCGTGACTAGCTACAGTAATAGCTGTTGTGCACAACAACTATTACTGTAGCTGTCAATATTTCAGACAGAGAAGAAGAGCCGAGCGCGCCTCCTTTAAAACAGAAGAAAAGAAGACGAACACGGTGAAGTGAGTTTGGTTTTACAGTTGTAACAGTTGGACATCAGATATTTGTGCTCTGCGGATTCAGCTGTGTTTTCCTCTTGTTCAATCTTATGCAGGCAGCCTGATTTCGGTCAGCTGCGCTCAGTCTGCCCCTCCGAATCACACAGGTTTGCTTAGGGACTGTCGACAAATTACAGAACCAAAAAACTCTGGAAAAACACACACACACAAAAAAATATATCTTCCACATCATGTGACCCACTGACTGAATTAATGTTAAATTACTCTACTATACCTGACAGATGAGACACACTCATTTCTTTCTGATTTTAATGCATTTTCTGTTTTATAGGAGAAGGAAGATTCACTGATGTGAAACGTCAATCTGTCACTCTGCGTTTGATTAATCTGGTAGGACCCAGATGTGTGACAAAAAACTGAATGTTGACATTGAAACTCAATTATAAAACTGAATTTTCAAAACAAATGAATTCAGTTTCAAGCCATTAAATTCAGTTTCAACTGAGTGAAATTCAGTTTCAAAACAGCAATTTAAATTCAGTTTCTGATGGCACACGCTTCAGCCCACAGCTCTCCTGTGATATGGTTTGTGTGAACCGATTTATTTAGTTTGAACTGGGCTGACCCTAGCCGTGGAAGGTTTGGTTCATGGTAGGAAATGTTTCTAGTGTTACCAGCTGTGCCCAGGTAAAAAAAAAATTAAAAAAAAGGGGGGGGCTTAAAAAGGTGTGTTTTTCTATGTAGTGAACTAAGCCACTCTGAGGACACAAGAAGACGTTTCAACCAAGTTTACTTGCAAGGGGGCAGAGTCCACACAGGCTTACACAGACGTTACATTGAAGCTCCGGTCGCGAGGTCTACAATAGTTAATCGATAGTTAACGAATGAATGAATCCATTCCACTTGATTAATGGGAGAATATTCAAACCACTCGTTGTGCCATGCTCTTTAAAATAGTTATTGAATCAAGTTTTGTCTTATGGAGGTAAACATAGATGTTTAACAACCTGTTAAAATACACCAGAATGCAGGAAATGGCATCTACTTTATTCAAAATTCTGGGGGAGGACACCCCCCCACCACCACCGGTGTGCCCTCCCCCCCCATTAAAATGTTTATGACACCATTGCTACTACTCTTACTTTATTTATTTATTTACTCTTAGGAAATGTGTGTGGAGAGGCACATTCCTGCTGCAACATTTTATTTTTAATGTTTAAACATGAATAAATATGTAAAAATAAATGAAACCATAACTGTTACCATTTCTTAATTTCTTCTTGATAACATTTTATTCTTTTTTGTCTCCGAGCTGGAAATGTCCCTAAATGTAATGCCAGAAATCTGGTCACCTTAGTCTACAAGCAATTTTTTTCTCATTCATAAAATGCTAAAATCGGGGACATTTCTGGGGACAGGTCGTCCAAAACGGGGACTGTCCCCAGCAATTGGGGACATCTGGTCACCCTAATTTAAAGCTGATATTGGAGGAGAAACAAAAAAAAAATAAATACAAAGAAATAAAAGCACTGAATTAACAAAGTATTGCTATAATCTTGTAAAACCAATTCTGAGGTTTAATCTCAAGGAAGAAGCTGTAAGTAAGAATAACATTGGTATCTCTATGTTACAAAGACACCATAGTGTGCGTGGCAAAATACATTTTAAGCTAACAACAAAGAAAAATATATATTTCTTGTATGTTTTGGTGGCATTTGTTTTGTCTTCACAAATCACAAATTAAAACGTTTATAATAAAAATATGAAAAAATGAATAAAATTGATAAATGACATGATAACAATGTTAGAGTCAGGTATAAAAAACACACAAAACCAACAAAGAGATTTGTTCCTCATTTTGGAAATGTATGTCAGTCCACTGCTGACACCTGGTGGTCATAAATGGTATTTCATCTACATGCTTTAATTAGGAAGTCCTCTGACAGTTTAGTTAAGGTTGACGTGACATGTTTGTAGGTAGAACACACACATTGTCAGATAAATCCTCATCAGTTGTACAAATTAAACACAAAAACTTTACATCAGTTTTGATGATATAAGCACACAACATGATACAAAGTGTTATTACAAAGTGTAATGCACAGACAAGACAAATTATAAAAGCATGCAGAAATATGAAAAGGTAAATATCCTTTGACAAACTGACACCAGAAGCTGTGAAATTAAAGTTGAACCATAACAAAAAAAAAAGATAAATCCACATTTTTTTATTTTATTTTAAGTCTTGAAATGTGTAAATCCTTTTGAAGTTGGATGGAGCCATACAGAAATGATTAGATGTGATGAAGAATGAAGGAACACTTCACCACAACCAATCTATGACAAATGGATAATATGGAGATGGTGTGAGCAGATGAAAGGAGCGAAAAGGAGAGGGGGAATGGACTACCTTTAGATTAAAGTTAATTTGGCTGTCCTGAGAGCAAAACGTGAAAAAAGGAAGAGAGAAACTTTTGCATTAAATAAGAATAAGTGACAAAAGATGTACAGTATTCGGTAAATCTCACCATGAACACAGGAGGGAGCAGGAAGCTAGAGGGACAAAAAGGGAGAAAACCACAAAGGGGTTTATGAAGAGGACTGAGAAGAAAGAGGACTTCCCCAGGCCATAAAGAATTAAAAAAAAAATAAAAATTAAGAGTATTGTCCAGGGAATCATATACAGTGTGATATGTAGACAAACAAGATATTTATAGAAACCTATCCCACTTGTTGCTTTGGGATAGTTGTGTCTGACCAAATACTGGGACAGATATAGAAGCTTCTTTATGCTGAAACTTAACATTCTGCTGGTGTTGATGTAGAAACGTGTGAAGTAACAAATTCAATCTATTGTAAAGACTCCTCCTGCAGAAATATTTTGAGTTTGCTAATATAGTGTGCAGATTAGCTAAACGTGTGCGTGTGCTCGTGTAAGCAGAGACCAGCTGTTAAAAGCAACAATTTAAACTTAAGGTATTATATATATTTTAATCAACGTGCACTGTTGGATTTTCAGGACCGGTTACCACGACAACCAGACCTAGCTCAGCAGACAAAAGAAAGAAACAAACAATGAACTTTCACATTTCACCAGCGTTTTAGCTCAAGGTAGCACAAATATACGGTCATGTGCAAAAGTTTTAAACAACCTATGTTTTCAAGGAGCATGACTTTATTGTTCGGATCAATACTTTTCCAGGATTTCCAAAAAGTATTTTAGTTTTTTTCTGTGCCAATGTATAACTTGAGGCTTTTGCATGGTACTGCATGTCCTAAAACCAATTTATTGCGGACACTGATTACAATAATGGTGCACATAAAGCACACCTGAACAGAGTTGGTCTGGATGTAAGTTAGTGAAGCCTCAAACAAAAGATCTGCAGCTGCTGAGCACTTTAGTACCTTTAACAACTGACTCAGTAACCAAAGCCTAGTTAGCCTTTACATGGTGCAACTTTAAAAACATAATGAGAGTTAATTACTTTAAAGTAAAGTTTGTTGTTTTGCAGACAATGACTCTCCCAGAGGAAGAGAAGCAGACACAATAAAAAGCCCCTTGTTAGGAAGGAGGGTTTAAGGTAACAGGTCTTACACAGTAAGCTTGGATTTGTCAACTGGGAAATACATTATAAAGTATTTTCTATCCTGACTATTACAAAATTCAGGTAAATAAAACATGTGTTTGCTCTGGGAGCTGTGACAACTTGTGACTGACGTATCTGTCATCAGTTTGCTGCACATGGCCAAAATGTTTGTACAGAACCATCACGATACAAATACACAGACCAAATACACACCCACTGTATAGTATACATAGACATTTTCCAATAGTTAATAGGTATGATACAAAACTTTAGTCTGATAACAATTTTCTAAAGTGACATAATGATTTTTAAAAATATATATCAGGGATGATAAAAGCTTTACATTAATCCCATCGATCTGGCTTCAGGAAACAACACAGCACAATGACTGCTCTGTTGAAGGTTTTTAATGATGTTGTTGAAGTACTGGATGTAAAGGACTATTGTTCTGCACTTTATTTAGACCTGTTAAAACTTTAGACTCTGTAGACCATGCCATCTTGTGTCATAAGCTCTCAGACATTGGTTTCTCAGACTACACTTTTGGCTGGTTCACTAATTATCTCTCAGATTGGAAGCAATGTGTTCAACATAACAGTATTTTTTCCAGATATCTAACTGTCAACAATGGTGTACCACAAGGCTCAGTCTTAGGACACACCCTATTTACAATCTACATACACCCCAGCAGCCTGGGATGATAGACACCACAAACTGGACAAGGTATGACTCATTTTAGATTTCAGATACTGCATTACTGTTCCAAAAAGCCCTATTCTGCATAAAGCGCTGCTCAGTCATCATTTAAACTGTGTTCGCTGTGCCAAAAAACAGTGAGTCCAGCTTGTCAGCTATTATCTAACTGAAAATACATCAGGTGTCTTTGTAGATTAAACAAACAGCTTCTGGTTGGAAGGGGACCTGCTGCTGTAGTCCAAGCTGGAATCTATCCGAGTCCAGCTTGGAAAATAATCCAAATTTGTTTCTACTGTGCAAAATGGTCACAGCAGAAACAATTTCTCAGAGGGTAACAAGACAAGCTGCAAAGAGACTTTGAAAGCTGTGGCTGTCACATGGTTATTAACTTAAGAGCTGTGCTGCACAGGACAGCATGTGACAATCTGATAATTGTGTTGGACATGCTTCATGAGTTCAGGGCAACTGGATCAACCATGAAGGTGGTTAAAAACTAAATCTGTTCTAAATAATAATAGACTCACTTTTTATTAACACTTAGTATAATGACATGTCCAAACCTTTACAAATAGGTTTTAAATGATTATCAATTTACCTGTAATTCATAAGCAAACAGCTGGTATCATATTCAACATAAAAAGCCACATCAAGAGCCATTTGTGGATTAAAAATACAATTATTTACAATGACTCAAAGGTAAGAAAACAATAAGAGACAGGGTGACAAACATTTATGTTACACACACTGATGACGACATACAATATTAATACATGTCAACAGACAAACAGTAACTTGTAATTAAGTGCAACACTCACCTCAAATTTCTGCCTCAGTTCCTCATTGCCATCATCTTCCACTGAGATGGGAACGTTGTAGTACTCTCCCTCCTCCTGGCACAACAGCTTGTACCTGAAACAGAAACAACAAAAAAATATATATATGTCAACCTTTTCTTCTGTTATGCTGTCCATGTACTCCTCTACTGATCTTCACCTAAAGATTCTGCCTGGATATAACGACGAGAAAACAACTGTTTCTCTGCCTGTGATGTTTTTGGTTTTTTTTTGTGCAGATCCTTAGAGTCCAACACCCATCATTTATTCATATTACAAATTACGCAAAACAAATAAATACCTATGTTCTGTGGTAAACATTGAAATGTAATGCAAACTGGTTTTAAAAACAAGTTTTTGTGATTCTCCCAAAAATCTGCAGGAAGAGGAAGAAAAAGAAAGAAGAAAGGAAAAGGAGGAAGTTCTGCAGCGATAGAGACACAGTGAATAATGACATCTGAGAGATGCATGATATTTAACGTTTTTGGATTTTATCGTCAGGGTGTAGTGTGACGTGGCACAGTGGTGCAGTTGGTAGAGCTGCTGCCAATCAAAGAGAAGGTTGCCAGATCAAATCCCCGCTGGACAGCCATTCTGGATGGAGTTTGCATGTTCTCACCGTTTATGTGTGGGTTCTCTCTGGGCACTCCGGTTTCCTCCCACAGACCAAAAACATTCACGTTAGACTGAATGGTAATTCTAAATTGTCCCTAGGTGTGAGTGAGAGAGTGAATGGTTGTTTGTGTCGTTTGTCTATGTGGACCTGTGATGGACTGGAGACCTGTCCAGGGTGTACCTCACCTCTTGCACTGACTGCTGGATACAGGCACCAGTGACCCCTGTGACCCGAAAAGGAAGAAGCAGGTAAAAGATGGATGGATGGATGGATGGATGGATGGATGGATGGATGGATGGATGGATGGATGGATGGATGGATGGATGGATGGATGGATGGATGGAT